TAGATTCTAATAAAAAATAAATCTGTCGTGGTCGCCTTACTGCGGGTAGACGACGCATAAAAATGGTAATAGCGTTCATTTATCACGATTACCCTCTCTCCGGAATTCCAAAAACGTTTTATATCATTGTTTTTAATATGAAAACAAAGTAAAAGGTAATATATAAGATTGGGCGGGACGTAAAGACACTGTGGATAAATTTAAAAGGTGGGTGGAACATTGGTAAAAGGATTTGACAATCGGTGATGTTTGTAAATTTGTCCAAATGCACGTCGCATGTCGTTTACCGAGCCGTCATATCACAGAAATGCTTCATTTGAGGGGTCAGGACCGGAATCTGAAAATGGGATATACATCTTTCATATGGGTGGCCATCAGATAAAATAACCACCCCAGCGCCGCAGACAAAAAACCCTTTTATCCTAACCCGAACGACCTTTTTCCCTTTTCACCCCTGAAACATAATACGTTCAGGTAAAGTGTATACGGATGTGGGAGGAAAAACACAATTTTCAAATAATCAATGCGAACGTGAAAGTGGTACAATATTATTATTATTTAAAAAACCATCAGGTGGATATAAAATCACGATGAACTGTATAAAACACGACTATTTTCCATATGCGTCTACAAAAGGTCACGTACAACAAAAGGTTACTAAATTAACACTCGATTAATTTCGTACTTCAATTAATAAAAAATTAAACAATATTAAAACGTAATTTTCATTCAAGTTTTGAAAATGAACTAGAAATTTTTCTTCTGCCAATTTTCTTTTGGTGATTGTTGCTACAGGATACCACCGACTTGATTAAGGCAGCTCTTCCATCATCCAAATTTGCACACTCGAATAATACGTCATCCGAATTTTTTCGAGAATTTTGTCACGATGGCAGATTGGGCTATAGATGATTTTGAACCTATACAGGGTGTCCTTCTGAGATGGTCCTCGCTGAATTTCTCTTGAACCAATGACGCTAACAAAAAAACGCAGTTTTTTAATATTTTTAGTCTAGTTTCAAATTTTTACCTTTTTTGGAGAAAAATTATACAGGGTACCTCAGGCCCAGTTCAACTTCAAAATTTCTAATACGACCCCTATACATACTGTGCGGTGATTTGTGACCGTTTGTCGATGATTATTCAGAAATCGTGATATGCGGTCTGGTGTGATGTAGGTTTCAGAAAAACATTTTCTTTATCGTGCCAACGTTTCGATCTGTATTGAGATCATCTTCAGTGTGCCATTCTTGCGTGTGCCGGTAGTCTCAACACGACACGCAAGAATGGCACACTTACGCAGAAAACAAACACTTTGAGCCCTGAAGATGATCGCAATAAAGATCGAAACGTTGGCAAGATAAAGGAAATGTTTTTCTGAAACCTACGTCACACGAGACCGCATCTCACGATTTCCGAATAATCAAATTGTTAATAAGGTTGTGACTAATTCAACTGGCTGCGGATGGTGATCGAAAAGCCCCGAGGGAATGAGGTATGGTGACACTGAGGGAAGGGGCAGATGGGAAATTTCCAGTTTTTCTAAACAGTGATGAACAACTCTGCCCCTATGAGTATGGCATTGTCATCCCAAAATCGCAAAACCCTGCCAATGAGATCCCTGGTTTGAGGGGTGTATCCATCGATAATTTCCTGAATAACGGGCTGAGTTAATGTTGCCTTTAACAATATGGAGTCCAGTTCGTCCTCCCGTGTAAATCCCAACCCAGACACCGCCTCCACCAAACTGCACTGAAGGAAGCATGAGCTGGGGTGTGAATCCTGTTCTTGTTAAACTTTCGGAGCTTATATTCAGACAGAAACGCAACTCACCAGTAAACATAACTGCATTCCAATTGGTGTGCTTTTCTAGGTTCTTGCTGCACCTTATTGGTGGGTGCCCCAAGGAGACTCCCACACACCCTTCCCAACTCTTGGTTCCAAGGGGCCCAGGCACAAAATAATGGTGTAGCCTTAAAATTTCTAATACGACCTTTACATACTGTGCGGTGATTAGTGACCGTTTGTCGATGATTATTCAGAAATCGTGATATGCGGTCTGGTGTGATGTGATCAGAAAAATATTTTCTTTATCGTGCCAACGTTTCGATCTTTATTCAGATCATCTTCAGTGTGCCATTCTTGCGTGTGCCGGTACTCTCAACACGACACGCAAGAATGGCACACTTACGCAAAAAACAAACACTTTGAGCCCTGAAGATGATCGCAATAAAGATCGAAACGTTGGCACGATAAAGAAAATGTTTTTCTGAAATCTACGTCACACCAGACCGCATATCACGATTTCTGAATAATCCTATACATCCTGTCACATCATTTTAAAGGATTTTTTACGCTGAAAACAACGGTCCAAACGGATTTTAAACTGATCAAAACATGACAAAGTTATGGCAAAAATTTGAAAAAATGCATTTCGTTGTTAATTTCAATAATTTGGTTCTTTTCTAAAGTAAACATTAACTGCCTTTATTGTTTACATTCTCTCAACGTTTGTCAAACTCGCATTACGAGAGCAAATTTTAATCCCTGGAAGTAAATAAATTTTACAGCATTACATATTTGTTATATTCAGCATTCCATTCAAAATGAGCCGAAGAGCACATTTTTCCGATCGACAGCGAATTGGATGTACGACTGCTTTACTGATAGTGGTGGTAAACCTATCTCAAAATTAATTAAGGTTTTTAGTTAAGATAAAAAAGTCAGTGTCATGAGCGGGATTCGAACCCACGACCTTCGCCTCAATACGCCGCTGCTCTACCACTTGAGCTATCGTGACTTCGATCCACTCGGACACCCAACTTCCCATCTCAGCCCCACCTTTTGAATTTTCCCTCCTTTTCGCTATTTTTCAAATGTGAAATCTATTTGATTCTCGGCGACAAATGAAATGGCCACGGAGTGCTTTAGTGAAGATATAAGTGAGAGAGACAGAGAGAGAGTGAGTGAGAGAGAAAGAGAAGGGGAAGAAAAGGAATTAAAGTGTTATGTATTAGGAGATAGTTCAATAGTGATGGAGTGAAAGTAAGAGAAAAAAGAAGAAGTGTTAAAAAGCGAACAATGTTTAATTCTAATTTTAAATTTTTAGATGTGATTTAAAAAGAGTGAGAGAATTAGAATTTTTATTATATGTTGGCGATTTTTCAATACTTATTTATTAACGTAAAATACTTATTTATTACACATTAGTTCGATTTTAATTAATTGTTATTAAATCCAAAATACACTTGTTCATGTAAATTGGGTTTCTTAAAAAAAAGTTAAATTTAACCGAACTGCCTGTTTGTCAACTCGAAATAATGGGCTATCGGGTTTAATTTGCCAATAAGTCAATTTTTAGGGAAATTTGAGCAGGGGGAGTTTTTTGTTTTTACCTTCCTCCACCCTGGGTCCAGCCAGGAAAAAATTAAAATATAATTTTCCGAATTTTTAATTGTACCGGTTTTCTCTCGAATAAGCGGACCATAAAAATAAAAAGGAGAGTTTTAATTCAATTAGACCGAGGTTTGTGTGTGTGTGGTGATGCGGGGGAACAGGCTGAAAAGCTTAATAACGGTTTTATTGATCCATAAAAAAAATAATTAAATTGAATAGGAGAACAAACAAAATTTGATCGATGACTGTAAAAATCAGGCCGAATTCCAGGGCGTATTTATTTCTTCGGGAAATTTTCTCCTTTTACCCAGCTTACCCGGTTTGGAAAAATGCCCGCGGATTCAATTCAAAACGATAAATTTTCGATTTTGTTTTCTCGTCGAAGGGTCGAACGTTAGAAAATCTGAAGCGCGCCTCGGCCGGAGTGGTTATTGGGTCATTCACATGTTTGTACTGTAAAGAAGATTGGAACGGACCGTTTCAACATTTGGTTAGCTGCTTTGAAATATTATGTTGAAAATTGACTTGGGCCGTTCCGACGGGTTAGCCTAAATATTGACCCGAGTAGTTTGCATTGTTTTTAGATACTAATCTGAACTGTTTGCTTGGATCATATCAGTTTAAACAGTCTAAAATGGCCATCCCTGTTTACTGGGAAGTTAAGAGATGTTGACTTGGGTCCTATCCGTAAATATTGATTTGTATCTGTGAATGTTTAATAAACTTACTTGAAACATTTAATTGTGCATACCTTTGACGGGTAAGGCTGGCCTGAATCATCAATGGGCTGGCATGAAAAAAAATGTGGGTAGCTTGAAATATTGACTAGGATTGTTTGTTCGCTTGTACTGAAAATTGACTTTTAACGTAGTTTCTTTTCTAGTGGGCTGGAATGAACTAATCGCTTTTTATTAAAGTTTGTCAGGTTAGCTTGATTGGATTGTTTCGATGCTTGTATTGTTAGGAAATGTTGACTTGCGTCATTTTCCTTATTTCGTCCCCTATCCTGAAAACCTTGGAAACCGGTGTTTGTTCTCGGATATAAAAAATTGACTTGCATTATTTCGGCAGGTCAGGTTGAAACATTGAATATCATCAATCGAATTTTTTTACCAGCCCTGGAAACCCAGATCATATTGATGTTTGGAATTGGAAAGAAAAATATTCATTTTTTATTAATTTTAGGTTTGGTACGGTTAGCGAGAAAAACATTTAGTTGATTGTTATTGACTTGAAACAAATAGTCCAGGTTTTTTTTTAAATTTATTATTTTATCATGTTACACATTTCATCTACACGGTTTAATAATAATGCTCAAATTACGATTATTTTTGTATATTGACGGAATAACGCGAGAAAATAACTTTTAAACGATAACTCGGCGTTGTATATCGGGCCTGTGGTTCGCTTTAATTCCAAAATGCATGTTTAAAGGGGTTGTAGACATAAAGGAAGTTTATTAAAAAATAAAGTAAAGCTTTGAAACTCGTTTCCTCCCCGGGGATGAAAATTTTATAAGGGAGCCGTTTCCGCCTCCGGGGCGTTTATCGGCGGCGTTTGACTGGAAAAATTGCATTAAACCCATTTTGCTTTTATGTCGGCAGGGATGACCAACTGCATCGTCGGCACCAGCCTAGCCTGCGGTACCACCGAGAGGAACAGGGCGGAAGAGAGGTGCATCGCCTCCGGATTTCTCTGCGACGGTCAGAACCAGTGCTTCAACGGAAAGTATCTTTCGGACGAATTCGGATGCAGTAAGTACTTTAAAACATTCAATGCGGTTGATCACACAATGGAGTCAAGCTTCTCTCTCTAATCAACACATAGAGATATTTTCCAAAAGAACAACATATAAGATACCCCTTTTTTTGAAGCCATTTGACGTTGACATCAATTGACAATAAATCAATCAGGCAATACACTTTTATGTCGACGGTCAGTCGGTCGATCAACGCGACGACTAGATTGAAACCATGGATGATTTGATCTAACAACTTAACCACGCTTTGACACCATCCTTGAAAGGTGAGCAAGTCAAATCCCATCAATTTTTACGTCACTGTATCACTTATGAACCGCTCTGACCTCACCGTTTTGGACGTAATATCATAATTGATCAACGAGATAACTCAGGCCTAGTCTTAAAGCCACGATTGAAGATAGCCTAACATACCAAAACAGTATTTATTGGCGGATCAGGATGATCGGAAACGAAAATATCAAATATACGTGCTTTATATTTTATTGAAGTATGTGTATAATTGCATTGTTCCACACCGGCCCTTTGCCCGGATGTTTGACAGATGTCATGCGATGTTTGGATATTTTGGCGTGAGTGCGGGCCCCATCCAAGAGACTGAAGGCTTCAGGACGAGCGCTGTCACCGCATGTAGTCCGCTCGCTTCGGCCGGGCACATGGCGAGCCTTTCCCTCTCCAGGCGCTTTTGCCTGAGCCGTTCCAGCTCGGCCAGTTTCTGCTCGTAAAAGGACCTGTACGGTTTCTTCGCTGGTTTGTCCGCCTTCTCTTTCGGCTTGTAGCCACGGTGAAAGACCTTCCTGAGGATGGTGTAGGAGGTCGATGCGAAAAGGACGAGGACGACCGCCGCGGAGACGATCAGGTAAATGGTGGGGTCGATTCTGGCGAGAGGTGCCGCTCTTGTAGCGCCTTCCTCTTCGAACAGGTCACACCTGAATCTCATCCCGGGCACGTGCTCGTCGAAAAATTTGGTACAGTTGACGGCAAACCCGCAGGATAAGACGCCCGCGTATAGCCTTACTTCCCGACCCCCGTGTCTGGCGACAAGCTGGAGGCAGGGGCCTAGGTCATCGCCTGTGCAGCTGTCGCTGCAGGATCTCCATCCGCAGTCGGCTCCGAACTTCCTCACCTTTGCCGCTACTTCGCAATCTCCCTGGGTCCTGCTCTTCGTCGCGTAGTAGAGGTACGGACGGAGGAAGACGGCCAGCGCGGCGCAGGTCGAAAGGAACGCGAGGACCGTCACTGCAGAGCAGAGCCGCACTTCCAAATCTCGTGTCGAAAACGGCGGCTTCATGACTGGCCCCTACGCACTCCCCGAGGGTTAAGCGCCTGTAATTAGGCTAACAAGTTTCTAGAGATCTAATCAGCACAATTATCCAGATTGTTTCAATAGAAAAAAGACCGAGCGCGTGGCAATCAGCTAATAGATTCAACACCCGTCCTCTGAGATTATTTCATCAAGGGAGAAATTAATGGACAAACCGTGTTTGATTAATAATAAATCCTTTACCGAGACACCTAACGATACAGGCGTAAATCGCGTTAGGAAAAGCATAAAGGGTCTTTTATAGTCGGGTAGTCGGGAGAAACACGTCTAATGACTGCTAGGTTATAACAAATTAGACGGAAAATCGAAAATTCTCCCTATTCCTTACTTAAAAATAAGTGTCCAGAATTAGCCGAGTATATAAAAAAATTTGAACGATGTAATGGTCGTTTGGCCAACGGAGCTATAATCAGATGATACACGTCTGCTTGTACGTCATAATTGATTAACCAGACTAGCCACTTTGACATCATTGACAAGATAAGATGCGCCTCCTTTGGCGTCGTTGTTTGTTCAGCTTAGCCATACTCACTTTGACATAATTTACAATAGCTTCAACAGATAAGGCGCACCTTGCTTGACTTCATCGTTCGTTCAGCTTTGCCACGCCTACCTTGATGTCATAGTTTAATAGTTCATAGTTTAGATTTTAGATGATTTTTAGATGTCATAGTTTAGCCACACCCATTTTGACATCAATTGACAATAGTTCTACCAGATAAGGCACGCCTTCCTTGGCGTCATAGTTCGTTCAGTTTATCCTTGCCCAGTTTGACATCAATTGACAATAGCTCAACCAGATAAGGCGCGTCTTCCTTGAAGACATTGTTCGTTCAGCTTTGCCGCCCCCACTTTGACATCAATTCAACCAGATAAGAGATGCCTTGACGTCATAGTTTGATTAACCAGACTAGCACACCTACTTTGACATCAATGGGCAATAGTTCAACCAGCTAAAACACGCCTAACTTGACGTCTTTTTCGTTCAGCTTAGCTATGCCCACTTTGACAACAATTGACAAGAGTTCAGCTAAAACACGCCTACCTTGACGTCTTTTTCGTTCAGCTTAGCTCTGCCAACTTTGACAACAATTGACAACAGTTCAGCCAAATAAGACACGCCTCCTTTGATGTTAGTTTAGTTTAGCCATTTCTCACTTTGACATCGATCGCCAATAGTTCAACCAAATTAGACACGCTACATTTACATGATTGTTCGTTTAGCTTAGCCATGCTCACATTGACATTAATTGACAATATGTAGTCCAACCAGATATGACATTTCTGCCTGGACGTCATTGGAAGATTTTGTTAATCAGCTTAAGCCCGTCCACTTTAGGTGTTCTATTTGACAAATTAGACGAAAAAACTAAGAATCTTTACTTGCATAATAATGAAGTTACCATAATCCATAATCTATTTATCACATAGTTTAAATTGTGTTGTTTAAATTGTATGTTATTTATCCATAATCATTATCACAGAAGAGAGCGACGTGATGAGTCTGCCGCCGTCGGAGCTGTTCCGATGCCAGGACAACCGCACTTTGCCGAAAGACCTGCTCTGCGACTTCAAGATCGACTGCCTGGACGGCGACGACGAGACCGACTGTCAAGGTAACAAACAACTTATCATACATCCATGTATAATCCCGCTGGGGTAGGTAAACCTCATCTTACGAGGCGAATATGACGAATGTTTGCAAACAAATGGTGATGAATTTTTTTAAAAGTTGTTAATTAGACGGCAATTAGATGATTAGAATGTGATAAGTACTAAATATAGATGGATCGCTTTTTTTTTTAATTGATATAAATTTAATATCAATCTGTAAAAAAATGTGAAAGATGCTTAGAAATATAGATAGGAAGACCAATCGTCTGTTTAATATACTATCCATAATTCGGCTTATGCAAGTTATACATTCTATCCACCTGGTATAGTGTTCAATGTTCCTTGTCGGAAGACCGTTTAAGAACTTTAAATATTATAAACTGCAAATAGAAACAGTCGTCTAATCTAAAACGAGATCTCGGTTCATTACAAACAGAGCGGGCCTCACTCTCTAAAATCCCAACTTAGCGTTCACCACTCAAGCTGCGGGGGACTTAATAACTTCGTTTTTGAAAATTCCCTTTAACTCCGGAGATAATTAAACGGTTCCGAGAAGACCATTTAATCCCTCTCTGTCGTAAAATATTAAATTATAAATGACATCCTTTTAGTTCACCTGCTTCGAAAACAGAAAGGGTGGAGTTAGGGCTAAGTCCGAGGGCTTTGAAGACGATTGGGGGCTTAAAAGGAAGGGAATATCGAAGTAAGGATTCGAGTGAGAACTTACACTTCTTGAGTGTTCCCCTTGGGCTTCCTTTCGATGCCGGAATTGTGATACCATCTGGTCGGTTTAACCCATATCACTGAAATCGTCAAAAAAAAGGCGATGGTCAAATTTGTTTTCATTTAATTTTCCAGCCTGTTTCAAATTTCGAATTGTTTTAACAAGCGTTCTGCAAGTTTGGCGATAAACGTTCGGCAGGTGGAAAACCAGCTTTTCTTCTCAACCCCTTTTTTTATTCGGTTTGCAGATGTAAAAACCGGTCACGTTTTGACAATTTTCAATTTGCATTCGCCGACCCCAAGTCCTTGTTATGAAAACGGTGGTTGGAACCGGGCAATTTCGTTCTTTTTTGCCCTACCTCGTTGATAATCGAATTGTAAAAATGGATTTCTGTTTTTCTCCAGCCAGTGCCGCCGATTGCGCCCAGGAGGAGTTCAGATGCCAGAACGGCCAGTGCGTACCCATCGGGTCCAGGTGCAACATGTACACCGACTGTTGGGACAAAACGGATGAAATCGGATGCCGTAAGTCAATTCATCCTTCCACCATTTTATTTTTTTTTTTTTTTAAATTTTTCTACTGTAAATGTTTCTCTTTCATAGACGAAGTGCCGTGCGAAGAGTACAGATGCAAAGAGGGCGGTCAGTGCGTCAGCAATTCTTCAAATTGCGATTTCTTCCTCGATTGCCTCGACGGATCGGACGAAGACAACTGCAGTAAGTTTTCGAAAGTATTACAAAACAATCTCTTGAATTATGCGTTATACGTTTTTGGTTTAAAACGGACCGATCAATCAGGCTTTAGCTGACACGTTGCCCATCGATCTACTGCCCAGCCCTCAAAACCAAGGATGGAAAAATACCTTAAAATCTAGCTCACAGCTTCCCACCTTACAATCTAGAGATTTATGACATAGGAAAATTTAAGATTCTTGCATATTAGGTTAGAACGATCGTGATACATGAACACATACACATGACAAAGAAGAGAAACGACGTACGTTATGTAATATCTTACATTTAATTAAGGTTTTCAGTTGAGATAAAAAAGTCAATGACACGAGCGGGATTCGAACCCACGATCTTCGGCTTGAAACGCCAAACCATTTTTCTGGTAGAGCAGCGGCGTATCAAGCCGAAGATCGTGGGTTCGAATCCCGCTCGTGTCATTGACTTTTTTATCTCAACTAAAAACCTTAATTAATTGTAAGACCACGAAATTAGTGAATTTAATGATTAAAAATGAAGTATACTTCACTAAAGCTCTCCGTGGCCATTTGATTTGTCGTCGAGAATCCAATCCGATTACACGACATTTGAAAAATGGCAAAGAGGAGGGAAAATTCAAAAGGTGCGGTTGAGATGGGAAGTTGGTGTCCAAGTGGATCGAGGTCACGATAGCTCAAGTGGTAGAGCAGCGGCGTATCTAGCCGAAGATCGTGGGTTCGAATCCCGCTCGTGCCATTGACTTTTTATCTCAACTAAAAACCTTAATTAACTGTAATATATTAATTGGTCAAGCGGACCACGAAATTAGTGAAGTTATATAATATTGTGTTGCCTGAAATGTCATACCCTTTTTTCTTAAAATCAAGAATAGCTAGCAAAATTTTAAATATTAACACCTGTTGATTTTTGACGTAGACATTGAATACGTAATCAAATGTGTAATTTTTATACGGAGTAATATTGAAACCATTCCCACCCTTTAATTTCAAATGGCACCCTATATATTTTATGTTTAGTTTATGAAACTGGTTGGTTTGATGCGAAAATAATGCATGTTTTCGATGTTTAGTAAAAACAGCTACAATTTAACCTTAACAATATATATTTAAAATAACTTCCATTTACTTCTGTACATTTTTGCCAACGCACAACCAATGCATTAATCCCAGAAGAGTAGAAACTCGGGTCTCTGGAATCGACGAACTCCCAAAATGCATTTTCAATGTCATTCTGGCTTCTGAACCGTTTCTCGCACAAAAGAGTTGCTTAAAAAAAGTGATCATCTGTAGGAGAAAGATCTGGTGAATATAGTGGTAAAGTCTCGTCACCCAACTCATGAAGAGGTGCCAAAGTCCGTTGTGCCACAAGCGTGGTCGTGAAGGAGGATAGTGCCCTTCAGACTGATTATTGCTAACCATAAACGTCGCAGTTTTCGATACATCTCATTAATTTCATCACAGTACTCTTCAATAGTGATGGTTTCACCCGGATTGAGGAAGCTGTAATGAATGAGTCCTGCAGATGACCACCAGACAGTGAACATAATTTGTTTGGATGTAACCTTGGCTTTGGGAGATGCCCTGGTTTTTCACTCTTATCCGTCCAGCTAGAACGCTATCTATTGTCGTATAATATCCATTTTTCGTCACACCTTACTACACGACTGAGAAATGGATCATTTCTGTTGCTTATGGAAAGCATTGAACAGATTTCATACCTGCGATCCTTTTGGCGGTCGTTCAGCTCATGCGGAACCCGCTTGTCGAGCTTCTTTGCTTTCCCAATAGCTTCCAGATGGAGAAAGACTGTGTAATGGCCAACATCAACTTCTTCCGCCATTTCTCGAGAAGTTCTTGAGGAGTCAGCTTCAACTTTAGCCTTTAACTGGTCCTTGTCAACAGCAGAAGGACGGCCACCTCCTTCTTTGCTCGTGAGGTCAAATCTCCATTACGGAATCCTTGAAACCAACGCTGCACTGTGGATTCATTTTTGGTTCCTTGCTCACAAATGTCATCAATGTTTCGAGCGTTTTGCGCTGCACTTCATCCAAGTTTAAATTCGTAGAAACAAAATTTGCCAAAAATCCCTCAGACATCATTTTGTTTGGAGGTACTGAACAAACTGAATTAAATGTTAATTGGTATTAAAAGTGAAGCGAAAAGGAAAACCTGCATTTATTTTGCATCAACCCAATAGATTTGTTTTTAAAAAGGTTTTTTTAAGTTATGCCTGTTTAAACTTTTACACCTAATGTCACGATTATTCTTCTCTTTCCAAAATGTTTTTTAAAAAAATCTTATTCGACAACTTTTTCACTGCGTAAGTAACATATTGTCATTGTATATTATTACTGATAGATTTATTACTCACTTCTTCATCATAGCAGCTGTTCAAACCCCAAAAAAGGGTTGGTATCGTAACCCACAGTTGGAGGGTACCTCAGGAATCGACTTTGATCTTCTGGCAATCTACTTCTAATGATGCCTTCCTTAAATTCTTGGATGGTTTTGGATGGTTACAACAGACCTGATTGTTCAAATACTCTCACGAAAAGTAGTCCACAGGGGTCAAATCCAGAGGACTAGCCGCCTAAACAATCCGACCACGGTTTCCTATAAATTATTGGCGTTTACAGTCAAACGATTGTTATGAAGCCAATGAATTATCCTGAGAGAGAATTTCATTACAAAATCATAGGTCCGGTGTTTTTGAATAAAAACCGATCTGTAAGTATGTCGGGTACGAATGCAGGGCCGCTGGATTCGAGCCCGGGACCGTTACCTTACAGTGATGAGCGCCGTTGCTAAACCGTTGCGGCCACCGACGCCCCCCCCCCCATTAACTCCGTTTAGTCCCTCCCAATTCGTCGTAATTATACTATTAACAGCCGTTTAGCCACGCCCACTTTATTTTTATTTAATTATTCCGAAATCGTGAGATGCGGTCTGGTGTGATGTAGGTTTCAGAAAAACATTTTCTCTATCGTGCCAACTTTCGATCTTTATTGAGATCATCTTCAGTGCTCAAAGTGTTTGTCTTCTGTGTAATTGTGCCATTCTTGCGTGTCGTGTTGAGAGTTCCGTCACACGCAAGAATGGCACACCGAAGATGATCTCAATAAAGTTCGAAACGTTGGCACGATAAAGAAAATGTTTTTTAAATTGTCATATTTACAAATTCAGTAGATGTTTCACTCATTCAACATTAAAGACTTAATTCGCATAACTTGTGACATGAAGTGTACACCGTGCAAATGTTTATGTTAAGATCCTTTCAGTAGATTCACAAGGCTTGCTGAGTTGGAGTTGCTGCACTCAATAAAATCCAAAGTATGCAAGTCGGAAGGGTTCATAAATTGGCCGTTCGAATAAAATATGTGAAAGATCTTCCTTTTCGTCTAAAAGGCATAGGGAACAAAACGAAATAGGATCAATCTTGTGTATCTGTTTGGAAATAACATATTTTAGGCTACTCTCCCCAATCATGAATACTGGAGGCCCTGAAGTCTCAAGCAATTCTGCTCTCTTCTTTGCTGTTTACATTAATGACTCACCTAAATTCATAAAACATCGTTTCCATTATCTATATGCGAATGACTACCAAATTAACATTTCGTTTTCATCTCCTGGCTTACATGTTGCAACTGTAAGAGTTTAGGAGGATTTAAACTCAATTAAGCTCTTGGGCCGATGAATATGTGCTTGAACGTTGAAGTCCGAGGTTATTGGGTTCGGATTTAGTTCCTTTATTCGTTACCCCGCTAATTTCTACCCTACTAGCAAGAAACTTAAGTCCTTGACCAGACCTTGTCCTGGAAGCCTTATCACCCAGAATTCCCTACGGTGCGAAACGCTCCGTGCCAGCCACCTCCTTTCCTTTAGTACGCCCCCTTTATTCACCTCCACTTTGATTTCGGATGTGTTGTGTACAGTGTACCCGAAGCTTCATCCACCCAGGGAGTTGTAGCCCACTCAATGTGGAACTACAGCGACGACGGGTATAATGTGGTTAAGGCTCGGGGCCCTGAAAAGGTGCACCTCGTGTCCTCATCCACGTCCCTCTCTCAATCCAGTTTCCTTCACTCTTTCCTGTGACCGCTCCCAACCCTTGGTTACAGGGGGGGTGTCCGAGCGCAAAATAAAGGTGCAGCCCTGAGGGCGTGGCAACCTCTCTAAAGCACAAGCTGTACACGTATCAGTCTCGGTCGGCATGGGGCGGCGGGTGCCTTATCAGAGGCACACGAGGATTAAAATACCAGATCCTGTCTGCATAGACGGGGGAGGGTGCATAACCATCTGTACTACGGGATAACAGAAATGTTTCAAAATTCAGCCCCTGTTACTATGGGAATGGATTCGTAGTTGGCCGTGGTGAGACCCCTGGCGGGTACATAGAAAAGAGGCTGTCTTCTATCTGTGACCTTCGCACGAAACTTGCGTATGACCACCGTTATACACTCGGCTCTCACGGGATACGGCGGGTTGGACGGCAGCGAATAAGCGTTGAGGACGCTATGATTATGCTGAAAAGTCCCTTGAATGTGTGAGATTAGTGGCGGATGGAAAGGGTAGTGAATCGGTTGCTCCTACTCGAGTATGCTTTGCACGTAGGTGTAGGCTGAGATGGATAGGAGGCTTTTACCTTAGGCGGTCTCCTCAAGGGGGTGGTTAGCAATTCCACTTTAACCAAAACCGCGGCCGGAGCGGATCCGGTAGTTTCTACTCTGGGGAAGCCCCACTACTCTGGGAGGTAGAGTGGCCTTCTCTACCTAGGGAGTGCGCGAGAGACCAGGCTGATGCTTCGGCTTAGGTAGCCCTTTGCGCGCGGCATACGGTTCGGTGCTTAATGCGAACCCGACCACCCGGAATGGGCAAGCGGGGAGCGAGGTTGTCTTGGCCCTTTGGGGCTGAGCTGCCTCTACACCAATGCTGCGGCAGTAACACATTTCTGTCGTATGCGGAGGTGTCAGGTGCGGACGTTAAAGATCC